CCCAAATCTCTCAAGGTTGGTTACTGCCGATGTGACTTTGCCTGGTTTCTTTTGTTTAATTATTCCAGACAAAATCCAACCGAATTTGGTAGCTTGTGCAAGAACTCCATTGTGCTTTTTTATGCCTCTTTCTATTATTCTGCCGAATATATCACCACCAATCACCATGTCAATTCTATCAGCTTTGTTAAATAATGGGTCAGCAAGAGTGTAGTTTTCCCATTTTTTAAAGTTGAACCTGAAGGATTGATCAGGTTGCGAAGTTGTAAGGGTTGATAAAACTATGGCATCCACTTCTTCGACGTGCTGGCTTAGAAAACGTGGTGTAATTTGCACTTTAACTTTAAATTTCGATTCACCAACCACAACATCTCCTAGGCCATGAAGTTTTGTCATCACTTTTTTCTTTGGTACACCTAATATCTGTGCTGCCTCTTCGAAAATTGATGTTTTTTGTGACCCTTGATCAATAATAGCCCTTAATAATATGTGCTCACCATTCGCAGCTTTTGCTCTCACTTGGGCTGTGGCCAGAATAACCGTTCTTAGACCTGCTTTTGTGGACATTGCCGATTTCTTTTGAACGTTATCGAAGTGCAGGAGCTCATGATGACTGCTGATGTTGCATATTTTACACTTCATATTGCTGGTACAAGTTTCTCCTAATTTGTGAAGCAGGCACCTGTAGCAGATTTTATTGTCTTTGGCATATTTATGTCTTTCATCCGTTGATATGCCCTTGAAACTTCTGCATTCGGTTATCATATGATTCGGTATTTTGCAGTAAGTGCACTGCCTAAATTGTTTCCTCGCGTTGGTCGACGTGCGATTCGCTTTAAATATGTGCTGCTTTCGGATTTTGTAGCCTTGCTCCTTTTCGGCTACAGCTTTCAATGTCTGGAAGTGTTGATCCAGAAAATCTCTAAACTCAAATAATGTCTGCACCTCTCTGGTCTTTTTAACCGTTTGCTCATATAATTTGAGTCCATCTTTGTCTAACTTGCGAACTATGACTCGAGCAATAAATGGATCTGCGTTTTCAATTTGTATTCCTAGTGACTGTATTGCGTTAAAGCACTCATTTGTAGTATCGAGCAATTGCCTTACGCTTTCAGCATTGTCACTATTTATCGGCGGTTGATCCATTATCCTGTCCCACTATGTTGTGAATAAAATACGTTTATTATCGTATCTTTGTTTAAGCAGACTCCACGCTGCTTCATAATTTTCGGTTGATATTTGCAGATGTTGTATTAACCTTGCAGCTTCACCCTTTAAACAAAGGCGAAGGCGTAACATTTTTTCTGAGCTTGATAATTGCTCATTTTTGTGAACCATATCCTGGAACACATTGTGGAAATTAGCCCATTCTTTTATCTCGCCATAAAATATTGGAATTTTTAATTTTTCCAATTCCAAATTGGGGCGATAATTTATTTTTGGCTCTTCTTTCACTAAACATCTTTCCAAATGCCCCAGATTTTCAAAATATTCCACTACTACCTTCTCATAAGCATCTTCAATTTCAGCATTGTAGTATTATGAAAAATCATTCGCGTACGCATTTTTGATGTCGTTATATAAACTTTCCAAATATTTAATTTGGTTATTACCGATCGCGCTCTCGAAGTGCATATCAGTCATTTTGGTTGTTATTGTTTGAATTTTCTTCATGAAAATTGCAGTTTTTGGGTCATTCTTACCCATGCTTGTTGCTTGTGCTGCTGTTGTTGGTGTTTGCGGCATGCGGTTATCTGCTAAAGAAGTATGCTCTTTTCTTGGTTGAAATGACACTTCATCACTAAGGGAGTGTTTGAACCCTTGAATTACTTCGTCAATTTGCAATCTTATGGCACTGTATTTATCTTGCGAGAAATAATCCTCATTGCCTACGCCATCCACCAAAAGTTTCTCGTTGTTGGCGTCCAATTCCTTTTGCAGCTTTTCTACTGCTTTTAACACCTCCTCGGCCTTCGACCTAGTTACTATTTTTCCTGCTACATTATTGTATATCTGCAGTACTTTTTCACTAATGTCCATCTGGGATTCAAGAATTTTTCCTCGGTTTATTCCCATGTTGACTTTTTTTTTTTTTTTAATTTTTACTATTCAAAAATAAGCACTGAGCACTAGACACTTCACTTTTTTATTTTAAGATTTGTTATTCTCCAAAGGAATCGTTGGAGGAAATTGGTTTGGTCGCCCGGTTGACCTTGCTGTGCCTCGACTCACAGCTGATGATATTCCTTTGGATTACAAATTTATTTAATTGCGTATAATTTTCTTTATTATACGGCTTATTTCCACCTTTTAATAGTCGCTTGAGCTCAAGTTGGAGGCTCGATTGGATCAAATGTTAAAACCTCAAAGTAGTATCTTTAAGGGAGATTTATTTTATTCTAAATCTTATTGAATATTCTCCTTCTTTATATACTGCTCTTACTAACTAATTACATTTGTTTGTGTGAAGGCCTGATTTGACACTCAAGTACATAGTTAATGACTATGTGTGATAACAGAATTTTAATAGTTTTCTTTTTCAAGTGCATACACTTATAATTACTTATATGATATAATATGTATGTTTGTTTACAGGTTTAATGTTTGTTTGTGTGTATGTATATAATAAATGTATATGCACTTGACTGTATTTTTATG